AAAACCTGCACACAGATGTTTATAACAGCTTTAGTCATAGCTGCCAAAACTAATGACTAACCAAGACATCCTTTGGCAGGAAAACAGATAAACTGGAGAATATCCAATGGACTATTAGTCATCACTAAAAAGCCATGAAAGGCCATGGAGGAATCTTAAACACATATTAGTAAGTAAAAGAAGCCAATCTGAAAAGTCTACACATACATACTGTATGTTTCCAACTGTATGATATTCTGGAGAAGGTAAAACTATGGCCACAGTAAAAACCTGCCAGGGGTTGATAAGGAAGGGAAGAATGAACACAGCATGGAAGATTTTTAGGGCAGTGAAACTATTCTGTGTGATACTACAATGAGGGATAGGTGTCATTATACACTTGTCAAACCCACAGAATGTGCATAAAGATTGAACCCTAGGATAAACTATGGACTTTGGGCGATAATGATATGTCAGTATAGGTTCACTGAATTACCACTATACAGGATGTTGAGAGTGGGGTGGCTATGAGTGGGGGTGGGGGGTAGACAGTATTATGGGAACTCTGAACTTTCTGTTCAATTCTGCTGTGAACCTAAAACTGCCCAATAAAATAAAACCTTTAAAAAAAATACATACTATAGAGCAATGTCTGTAAAAGTTAACCAGGGTCATGGATATAACATGATTAATCCCACAAATTGTCAGCACTTACCCAATTGTCCAATATGCCATACACTTTCGAATCTGAGAGCTTTAAATCACACATTCATTCAGCCTGAAGAGCCCTTCCCTCCCAAACCCCCTACCTCCACCTACCAAAATGCTAATCATTCTAACACTTGAAAGTCAGCTCAATGTGTCACTGAGTTCATAAAGCCTTCTCTGATCCCTCATCTTAACTGTGGGTTCCTTCCTATCTCTCTCTGTATCTCTGTATCTTGTTTGGCTCATGGTGTTTAAACAAAACTTTTAATTAAATGTAACCTTTTAAAAATAAGAGGTTATATCTTAAAATTCAGATCTTACTACTCTTGAAAAACACAGTATGACAGTTACCAAGTGGGAATGGGGGTGAGCAGCAATGATTACATCTCAGACCCCTTTCTCCTTGTGGCCTCCCAACACTGAGGCTTTTGTCACTTATGGCATGGCTGTGACTTATCGTTGTCCGTGTCATCTTCTTACTCCCTCCCACTTCCCTTCCTCAAGGTGGTTGCATGGCTCCAGTCCCCACTTAAGGCTATAACCCATTTAGTTACTTTGCTCTGTGTTTCTTGACAGCAATTTGTTTCTCTTTCATCCCTATCTGACAGTAGTATAGATTCATTAACTATTTTCTGAATTTTCTAAATTATTAATCAACAAAACAGGAAAAATGTGAACACTTAATCCTTAATGAATGTTGCTCCTGAGGCTTTAGCTGTTGGTAGCATTATTTTACTGTTAATTCACCTCAGGACTCTATGACATCCTTTCAACACCTAAGGTTCAAGTAGGCTCTTTGTGAAGGTTGGAAGACTGAGAGGCTGAGACACAGGAAAGGAAGGAAAAAATCGTGCTGAAGGCCTGCTGTGTGCTAGGCACTGTACTCTGCTCAGTGAGAGTGAAGGGGCAAAACCAAGCAGCTAGTAGTGCTCGGCACACCCCTAGGGACAAACCTGGTTGGCCCGCATAGGACTAGCATTCCAGGACAGCCAGTGTGGGACTCTGCAACAAGCAGGAACAGTAGAGTGGCCAGGCCCGGGAGTGGTTACTCTGTGTAAACTTTGTGGGCCACATACAGCATTCTTAGTAGTGGTGAACTGATGCCAAATGAAGTCTATACTAGAGCCCTTGACTACTTCCACCTGTCTGCCAAAGGTATCTGGTATGGTCCTTTTTCTTTGAAGGAAAATAGATCATAAAGGAATGTGTCACATAATCCCTTCTATCAAAATAAGAGTACAGAGAATTTGAAATCAGAAACAGTTTTCATTTAAGAATGTAACTAGGTTTAATTAAAGAAAAAGCATAAAGCAAATAATTTGGCCTAAAGGTACTCTATTGCTTGACATGTACTGTAAAACTGTTTTTTAAATCAATTTTTAAAATTTTAGTTGTAGATTCACATGCAGTTGAAGGATATAATACATAAAGATCTACCATTTAACCAGTTTCTCCCAGCAGTAACAACTTGCAAAATAGTGTCAAAACCGGATACTGACACAGTTGAGGTACAACATATTTCCATCATGACAAAAATTCCTCAGGTTGCTGTTTTATAGCCATACCCAATTCTCTCCCGCTCCCCTCCCCCACTTTTCCACCCCAAGCACCCACTTATTTGTCTTTCATTTTTATAACTCTGTCATTTCAATAATCTTATATAAAATGAAATTGCACAATATGAAATCTTTGGGATTGGCTGTTTTCACTTGAAATAATTTTCTGGAGATTCATCCTGTTGTAAAACCTTTTAACTGGAGCAAATCATGAAAGAGAATTACAACCTAGTAAACAAAGACCTTGAGTTCATGGAAGACTCCCACTAACACAAAGGGCGCAAGAAAACTGAATTTCACTGTCCTGTAAAGACACAAAGACATTTTCATTGTGAAAATGTTTTGCCACCAAGACTGTTCAATACATTAAAATTATAAACCTTTAAGCCTGTGTGGTCATTAAGGCTTGTGAAATTTGTCTCCAAAAAACATAGCTAGCTAAATAAGTAAGTTAAAAATCATCTTTATTAAGATTAAGCATTTCAGATGGATAGGAATTTACAATGAACTTTCTGAGTTTTCCCACTTAGAACTAAGTTTCTGATCTCTCGAAACAGCAGGCTTCATGTTGTGTTTTAACCACTGTAGAGAAGAAACACGTATGTTTTGTCAGCTTCAAAATCTTAAAAACCACAAGGTAATTTTTCTGCAAATTTTTCCTTCAACTCATTTGGGCTGTCATTCATGACTACTACTTCTGTCTGCCAAACTTGGCAACAGAATCTCATCAGTGCATGATTATTTGAAAAGTAAAAGCAAAATCCTGACTAATAAGACTTTCCACTCCTTAACATTTTAAAAAACAGAAACCAAATAGGCTCATCTACCATTAGCCTATAACACAAAGATCAACTGCAAATAATGAAACGGTCTGCAACTTGATTCCAGGTGTATAAAACATAGGCCTAAAATTCATCCATCTTCTAACCATATTCACAGTACTGTGTGCTGTTGATACAATCTGTTAAGCAAATCAAAACTCATTAATCACCAGACATTAAGATTTCTAGATGAAGCACATAATCTGCTAAATTTCTAACTCAAGAGATGGAAGGGAGGAAAAAGGGAGGCAGGAAGGGAGGAGAAGGGAGGGGATGGTAAGGGAAGAGTAAAGGAAAAGAAAGAAGGAAGAAACCTCTGGCAATTCCTTCAAGTGTTTATACAGATTAAACTATGGAGAAAAGTAACACTGTTTTTAAACACTTTAGCAATTACTTGTCCAGAAATAAACAGCAGCTGAACTTCAACTTCCCAATAACCTTACCACAAATACATATATGTACACACACATACACACCACCCCTTTAGGACTGACTTCCCCATTGTCCCCTTGAACTCCTCCTCCTACTTGCTTCAGGAACTGTCCTACGGCTAATACCAAGGTTCTGTTTAGACACTGGAGGTTAAGGAGTATAGTCCACACTCCTTACTCACTGATAGCTCACTATCAGAGAAACAGGTTTGTCTCCACAGCCCAAAAGAAAATTCCTAGCGAGCATACACCCATGTCTCATTCATGGGTGTCTGCTCCACAGTGTTAAGGTCTGCAAAACGTGCTGCACAAAGCTGGCACTTAACAGGATACGGTGAACGTTCAAAAAATAAAGCAAGGCACAGAACAGCGTGGCCTGGCACGATGCATGCTAAAAGTTGGGCAAGAAAGGGTATATGTACATATATATTTGTATTGGTTTTTACAGACATAAAAGTTCTTTAGAGCAATAAGAAAGAAATTATTCATCATAAAACTTATTGGGGAAAGGTGAGAACTGGGTGGGAGAGATGGGAAGGAATCTCTTCACTGTATATACCTTTCCATGCTTTTTGATATTTGAACCACCTGAAATGGTTCAAACCACCTGAATGATTCAAGCCACCATTCAAAAACTGGATAACTCATGTTATTTAAAAAAGAAAGAAAACAATACATATTTAGGGAGAGATCTACAGAATTCCAGAATGCAAATTTTCTAACTCCTAAACATCCCCAAAAGGGTAGAGAATATAGTTTAGTGGCACTGTGTAGAAAAGCTTATGTGTTCCCTTTAAATAATCTATGGCTCAATTTACTCCTCTGAACAATGAGGACAGTAAGAGTACCTAACTCATAGGGTATGAAGGGATTAAAGAAGTTGGTATACCTGAAGTCCTTAGATCAATGGAACACAAGCTTACATAAGGGTTAGTACTGATATTACTGTAGAGTATTACAATAAAAGTAAGGCCCACCCAGTCCCACAAAAGCTTAAAAGAAATTATTCTAGAAAATATAAATCAGAGGTAGGCAAACGTTCTGTAAAGGGTCAGATACTAGAGTAAATATTGTGGCTTGGTTAGGCCAAGAGGCAATATCCTCAACCCTTGCGCAATTATTCTCCCTGAAAGGCTAGTAAGTTTTTGGTTGTTTACATTTTACATTTTAAAATTTAAAAACCATTCTTGGACATCGGCCCCACAGAAACAGGGCTTGTGATATGTTTGCCCTGGATCTGTCTGGACCCAAGGCTATAGTTTGCCGACCCCTGTTAGGCATTATAACGATAATAACGCAAATCAGTGCTTTTTAAAGGTGACATAAGGGAACGTTTGTGAATTGATCAAAGTTGACTGTAATACGTGCTGTCCCCAAACTTCTAAAACCCAGACAGGCAGGGCGGGCGTGGTGCGGAATCGGGCCAGGACAGAGAGTGGGGCCTCAGGAGCCAGCAAGGGCCTCGCACGGCCCCCCGGGTCCGGCCGAGACCCTGCCACACTTACTCCCAGCAGCGGCCCGCGGCCGATCACCGTCTCCCCGGACGCCAGGACCACCGGGGGGCCGCCGTCCTGCGGCTGCAGCTCAAAGCCGCTGGACATGGCGGAGAGGATGAGGCCCCTGGACAAGGAGACGGTCCCCTCCTTCCATGGACACGCGCGAGGCCTCGGCGGGTCCTCAGAAAACTACGGGGGAGGGGAGCTCGGAGCTCGGCTGCCCTCAGTCCTCCTGCCGCACAAGGCCCAGGGCCGTGTCCCAAGTCTAGCCTCTCTACTTGTAACAGTGACGCCGCGGGGATTTCTCCAACAGGCCGCCTCAAAACTACTGTTTAAAAGCCCCGGTTAACCGCCCCGCTCTCCCCGGTTGTCCCCTTTCACACAGCCAACCCGTCTGGAATGATGCCGGGCCCTGTAGTCCCCAGCGCCTTCCTTCTCCGCGTTCGCGGAGCTGAGACGCCCTAGTGAAACTACAATCCCAAAAGGCAACGCGCGCTCCTCTCTGCGCCTGTGCAAAAAGCTGAGTCAACAGGGCGGAGTTAGTAGAGTGGGCGGCACCCGAGGGACTATGGGGAAGGGTTCGAATTCCGAAAGATTTAACTCGCGGGAGGAGTAGACACCGCTGCCCAGTAGGTAGGAGGGTCCTCCCTTCCTACCGACGTCGGGGGGCAGGCACGGAGCGGCCTGGGAGCCCGCGCGCCTTTTGTTCTGCGGCTAGGATCTGCGGTGACAGTGGGTGCCGACGATTGTTGTTGATGATCTGTCAGTGCCCCCGGACTCGGGCAGCGGCAGCCTGCGCGGGGCATGCAAGGAGGGTGGCTCAGATGGGACGTCGGAGTTGTACCTTACTACCTGCGGGATCCAGACGGGTTGGGGACTCCCCGTAAGCCGCGAGGCGCAGCCCCCTCAGTCGGCGCTGCCACCGAACCCTCCCTTCCGTGTGTCACCTGAAGGGAGGAGGGATGGGCTCTTACCTAACCAGAGAGGTAATTCAGCGATGTTTGACTCATAAAGAAGAGGCAGAAGAGGGATAGTTTTCCAGGCATCCAAGCCAAACTGGACTTAGAAAAGAAGCCTAGTGGGATTTCAGAACCTCGCCAAGCACCTCCGACTCTTAAGTTCAAAGGCCTTCTCCGCCTCCTGTGACTATAACGAGAGGATGCACTTTATTCCCCAGTGAGATCCTGGGAGAAGCAACAAACATATAAATGTACAGTAAAGATCTCCTAATATGAGATTCTTTTCGAGTATATGGTAGTTTGGCTTCGGTTTGTGTTGATAGTAAGAGTGGGGAGGTGCATGGCAAAAACTTGCTCCCGACTCATGAACTTGTTTTTATCAGTTTACTTTCTTCCCCAAACCCTCAAGAGGAAGTCCTCTGATGAACACTGACATTAAAATTTTAACCATCATAGCTAATTTGGATCATAACCAGCTGAACGGGTGTAACTGTGGTCTTGGCAAATTCAGAAACATAGGTGAGTAGCATATCTCGGAGGTGCAATTGTCATTAGTTTGTTAAAAGAAGTCCTTAGCAGTTATCTCAAAACCCTCTTCCTTTATGGCCACATCGCCAGTCCCCCCTTGTAAAAGGAAGTGCAAAATGGAATAAACTGATTTTAAGCGAATATGAGCTGTCTTTATATGCAAAAACAGGTTCTTGCTTTCATTGGATTTCAGAAGCCTATACCATGCAGTTTAGGTAAATTAGCTGAAAGTGGACTTTAAATCTTTAGTGACATACTATAGCTTGTTGAATTGTAAACATTGTTGATAGTTATTAATCACTGTTGCTTGATGGACTCAGCGACTGTTATCCTTAGTTCATAATTAACTATGCATGTATGGTAGCTTCAGGAGGCCATTTCTAAAACACTAGTCTTTTAGCCAGATTCAATATTTGAGATTTAGTGTCATTATAACCCAGATCTCAACCTCTTGTACATTTCAGGTAGTATTTGTCAAATGTAAGCTCCTCTCCATTAGGTATGAGTAAATAAACAATTATGTAAACTTCTAAAAGGCCATCAGATTTATGAGTCAGTCACAAATTTTATTTGGAGAACTTAATGACAGGCACTAGTACCCACAGACAACAAATATTCAGGAGTTTAACAGAATTGAATCATATACAATTCCAGAACTATTTTCAATAAAATTGGAATTAAATGTGTTCCCACAGTAGTCATTTCTACTACTAAACTCAGTAAATTATAATCTGCAAAGAATCACTTCTCTCTTTTAGATAATATTTCTTTGGGTGCAGAAAGAAGTTTTTTGACATAAAACATTTACAAAAATATTTAAAAAGAAGGGAACTAACGTGTAGAGAGCCTCCTCTGTGCAATTCAGATGTGAGGCAGGCAGTCTACACATTATCCTGTTAATCCTTGCAAGAACACACAGGAAAGGAACATCATTGGCCCCATTTTACAGATTGAGAAACTCAAGTTGAGAAAGTTAAGGTTCTTTAATTCATACCCAGACAGTATCTGTCTCAGAGTAGGATCTATAGTCTGATCTGAAGAGACTTAGTATGTTTAAACTTTGCCTTTTAGGTCCTGTATGAGAATAATTTACTAAAATTATCATCAAGCTATGCAGAGAATCTCCAGGAGGAATATTAATTCAAGAGTTTCTGACATAGAGTTGAACTCTGTGGATGCTGAGAAGGAAAAAAAAGAGAATCAAAATAACTTTGTTGAACTGCTTCCTCCAGAAGTTACCTTTAAAATTTTCAGTCAGCTGGATGTTTGGAGTTTGTGCAGAGCTTCAGTGACATGCAGGAGCTGGAATTACACAATAAGAAACAGTGATTCCTTATGGAAACCTCATTGCTTGGCTCTAAGAGCTGTGTGCCAAAGAGAAATAGATGATGATGTGGAAAGTGGTTATTGCTGGAAGGTAAGTTTCATCATTATAGTCTGCAGTGTTCTTGACCATATGGTGCTGGGTTTGAGCTAACTGTACCTTCTGCTTGGAGGAGGTAGGATTGCATGTACAAAATGATATATACAAAGTATGTTGGTTTTCAGAGTTAAAGTTGAATTATTATTCTTTTCCTACAAGCCATGCTATCTCCCATCCATCCTTTCACATTTTTGTAAATCCTAAATTCAAGCATTTGCCTCTGCTAGCCAGATAGAAAGTGTCTACTTCTTTTCACTCTGTTATCCAAAACCCCCAGCAAACTCTGTGGCTCACTCCATATATACATACACACACATTCGTATATGTGTATATCAGTGTAAACACTTAATCTTCTTTTCAGCCCTGTCAGTCAGCTTCTCTAGTTTCAAACAAACTTACTAACCAACCACTTACTTATCTTCTTTAACAATGATGCTTTACCTCTTTCAGGTAATACTACTGAGAAATTACCAGAAGAGTAAAGTGAAACATGAGTGGCTGAGTGGTAGATACAGCAAGCTATGTTCTTCTATTAGCCTACCAGAAAAAATCATGTACCCAATGGATGCAGATACTTGGGGAGAAATTCTAGAAGCAGAATTGGAAAGATAAGCAGGAAAATCACAAACAAACCTCTTAACTTTGAGAATTTAAAACTAAAATGACTCTTGGTTACAAAATGTGTATCTTTACCCATTCAATTTTTTGTTCACCTTTTTAATATGTAACTTTTAAAAGAAGACAAGTAGAAAATACTATAAAAGTAAAGCTTTGTATTTTGCACTTTAGTAAAAAATATTTTTCTGTTTTTATTATAAATTGATAAAATGAAATGTTATTTATATAAGAAATACTATAATGATAAAGTGATTTTGTATATTGTTTCATTCATTTGTGTTAGTATATTGTAGTACTTTAATGATAAGAGAACTTGGTTGGTATTTTCTGTGCAATAGTAATTTAACAATTCAGGAAACCATTTGAAGAAACTTAGATTCATTAAGTAGTAGACATAACTAGGCTCATGGGAAGAATACCTAAATGAAATGAATAACAATATGTTTAAATGTATAATACATTTATATTTCAATAACTCTAAAATTTCCATTTCACTAGAAGCAGATTAACATTGAAACCATTTTAAAATGTGTTAAATTTGTGGTTTAGTTTAAAATTAGTCAACCAGAGGGCTAAAACTTGTGAAAGTAAGATTCCTATTACTTGCCTAGAGACCTGGAATTGCTCTGAGGGTCTTAAAAAATTTGGAAAATTTCCAGAACACTTAACTACTATCAGAATTTCACACTATTTTTCTTGGTAAAATTTTCTTTCTGAAAGACTTATAGCATCATCTAGTGGACCACTTGTGGATAACCAGAACATAGCACTGAGCTTTGCGTTTTCTCCACATGTGAAAGAAAGAAAAGCATTTTCTTATATACCGGCTTTGTTAAAGGTGATAGCTTTCCAGGAACTTTTAACTTTAGTTTTTGTTCTCTTTCTCTTACAAGTAGACAGAATAGTACTCACTATACCAGATTCTGAATCTGTGGGTCAGCACCATAGTAAAAAGTGTCTACCAAACATTTTAGTTAGTTTGGGGGTTTCTTCTTAAATTGTGCTGTATAACACAAAAAGTAAGAATCCAGGAAACCAGTATTTAACAAATAGGCAAATAGCAGAAAAATGCAGTCTATACACATTCCATTTGTTGGGAAGCAAGCAATGATTTGTTGCCTCCTAATAATTTCTTAGAGTTGGAAGGGACTTTGACAATCAGCAATGTAGCCTCTAGGACTATTCAGCAATCCCTTCTATAGAAATGTTCTTCCTCTAACCCACCTTTATTCTTTCCCTGGCAAACACTTGTAAACTCTTCATCCTGATTCGGAAACCATCCCTAAATTCTACCATTCCAGAGTAAGTGGCCCTCTTAAGGTTCCCTTAGTTCTTTGTACATACCATTCTCAAGGCTGTCACATATTAAATTGTTTGTTTTGTCTGTCTCGTAGTTTGTACTGTGAGCTTCTTAATGTCAGGGACCATTTATTTATTTTTGTGTTCACAAAATCTGGAACATCATAGGTACTCCATAAATATTTGTTAAATTATTTTTATATTATTTATTTTAATCCAAACTAGAATGTATAATAAAAATAACTTACTATATTGTTAGTAGACAAGATTGGATTGAAATACAGTGTGTAACCCATAAGATATACGGAATTCTTGATATTAATGCTAATACATGAACAATTGTTCTACTCTTCTCAAAAGCTGCAAGAAAAATAGGAAAGTAGAAATTGGGGGGTGAGGTTGGATAAATACTTGAAAATAAACTTGATCTGAGAGTATCATTTATTATTTTTAATTATTGGTCCACCCCAATCCAGTTTTAAGTATTATTTTTCAATGTACATGACTAACCTTTGCTTTTTTTTTTTTTAGTACCATAGCCTTAAAATAATTCTTTGTAGAGTAAGTTTTAAACTATGATCATAGTCCACACTGAAAGGAAAACTTGGAAACTCTATGGTAAATTTTATGGGTGGGCTTAGAATGAACTGTACATTTATCAGACCAAGCCATTAGCACCTGAGAACATGAGTGGGTGGGGCAGAATGGAAGGATGGCATGGTTTTACTCATAGATAAATAAAATAACATGTTATGTATACAAAGTTTGAAAAAAGAGGTGAGATTATTGGGGTAAAGTACTAAGAATTTTCCAGTGTTGCTTAATACTTAGTCAGTTCAAGATGTAGTTTTTGTTCTTCGTTTTTTTTTTTTAGGACCCTTTCGTTAGTTGCTCCTGGTTTATAACACCATTTTAGATCAGGATATAATTGTCAATAAAATCTGTATGAACATAAACTTAAGACTTTTGAGTACACATATGTATATACAACTAATTTGAAAATTATACCCCTAACCACTCTAATTTCATCTTTGCTTTGACTTTACCTAATATCTTCTCTACAAAACCTCAAATGCCCTAATAATATTAACAAAAACAAGGTGACATTATGGGTTGGGAAAAATAATGAATAAGATGGAAGGTCACACATTTTTATTTAGAGTTGACGACCAAAACTATCAAATAGAAGAAATTAGACCAATAGTGAACAATGTTGATTAATTGTAATAGCCGACATTCATTGAATGCTTACTCTGCAGCAAGCAGTGTGCAAATGTAGGGGGTACTATTACTCTATATCCATTTTATGAATGAGGAAACTGCAAATTAGAGAATGGTTTTATCCATCTAGTTCATCACCATCCTAAGCACCTGTACGAGTATCTAATAGATGGTAGGCTCAGTAAATCTTTATTGAATGAATTAAAACAAAGTTGTTTTAATTACCTAAGACTGAGTAACTCAAATGACAGAGCCAAGAACATTTTTCTAACTTTGTATCTTGAAAAATTTCAAACCAACAGAAAAGTTAAAATAGTTGACAAAGAACTCTTAGCCTTTACCTAGACAGACCAGTTGTTAACATTTCCACATATTTTGTTTTATTCTTGCTGAAGCATTTGAAAATAAGTTGCAGACAAGATGATGCTTCACCCCTCAACACTTCAGCATGCATCTGCTAAGAATAAATACTGTCTTATATACAATGACATTATCACATCTAAAATTGTTTATATTAATAATATCACCTGATTTACAATCTCTATTTAAATTTCCACAATGACCTCAAAAAAATCTTTCATAAATTTTTTTTTCCAATTCAGGATCCAAACAAGATTTCCATATGCATATCATTTTTTATGTCCCTTTAGTCTCTTTTAACCAGAAACAACTCCCTGGCTTTGGTTTTGTTTTTCAGGATATTGACTTTTGTTTTCTTTAAGAGTTCAGTCTGGTCATCTTACAGAATGTTCTGTAATTGATTTATCTCATTATCTCTTCATGATTTAATTCAGGGAAAATATACTTAGTAATTTTACTACATAGGCGATGTAATATGCTTCTTTTTGCATCACATTAAGAAGCCCATAATGTCTGATTGTTCTATGTGAGATAGTAAATCTGATCATTTTAAGGAATATTTTTCCGTAGAGCCAAGATTTCTTTTTCAACAACCCATTTCTAGGGTATTCCCCATGGCTAACCATATGCTAGATGCCTTATATACATTATCTTATTTGATCTTAACAATTAATTAGCCTTTTAAAGAAAATAATCTTTCACAGAAAATCATCTTCAACTTCTTTTCCAGGCAATCTAATATATGTATATATATATACATATATATACAAATATATATATATATTTTGTGTGTATATATATATATATATATATGATGTAAAGCCACTATTTAAACCCAAATAATCTCTCTGACTTCAGAGACCACCAAGCTAGAATATAGTGCCCTTTATCATTTCAAAACTTAGTCCTTACACTGAGGCAAAGTGAAGGACTCAGACTAATGAGGAACATCTCCCATTACAAATATCTAGAAAATCTTGGAGAAGTCAATATTAAATATGTAGAACTTATATTTCTGCTAATGACAGACAGATAATCTGACAAGCCTTCCCACCTAGGACAACTTAAAAAGCTGGAGAAAAATTTAATACACTTAAGGCATTATAGCACTAAAAAGATAGTAAGAAATATTGGAGCAGTTTCTGGAGAAAGAAAGGGAACTAGAGAGATAAGTCCATAACTGAGGTTAATCTTGCCTTGGAGCATTTGCCAATTTCTACAAAGGCAGCTGAGAGATTAAGTAGACTTGGAAGTCTCTCAGGGGTACAAAGACAACAGTGGAATCTAGGACTCGCTAAGAGAAGGGGGAGCAACACTAATCCCCCATCTTCTTTGGGACCTAGAAGGACTGCGCCCCAGGAACTGGAGTAACCAGAAGTACATAGGCAAGTACCTCACAGGAAAACCATGCATCTCAGTCACTGAAATGAGAAGAGAAGATCCCGGAATAACAATGCCCAAATACCTAGCAGAAGCAAAAAAAGTCCTCCGTGGAGAAAGTTTATCTACATTTAAGGCTTTATATTATCTCTACAAACATTTTTAAAAATCAGTGTCTGATGCACACATACACACACATAAGGAGACAGAATAACATGAATAAAAAACAGGCAGAAAAGCACAGTAGATAAGACCCACAGTGGGAGTTATCAAATGAAGTCTCCAAAACAAAGCTTGGGGTCATAAAAGGCATGGAGAATTTCAGCAGAGAACTGAAAATAGTAGGAACAGTGCAAAGCGAGGGATGCAAATCAGGCCTCATAAAATCCAGCATTCTTATATTCAGCCCTACCATAAATAAAACCCACTTTTTTATTAAATCCAGTTTGCATTGTTCAACACCTCCTAGTCCCAGAGCAGTCAGGGCAGGAAGTGATAAGATAAAACTGAAGCTTTGCAAATCACACCAATTACATTGTTACCACAAACATTAACTTGTCATGGAAAAAAATCTTAATAACCGTTTTCTGAGGCATATTTTTCAGCTATTGGTCTTCTGAGCCCTGTAGGGAAGAAACTGGCTGCTGGTTTCCCACTTGGCTTGTTTTAATTTAGTTTTAATATGACAGAATTGTGTATCTGATCATCACACAGTGAAAGTCTGGTAGAAAACACATGAAATTATCAAAGAAACTTCCTAAAAATCACATTTGAAAATCTCTCAATTTACTGTGGTGACTGTGTTTTTTGTTGCTAATAAGTAGAATAGGCAGAATTTTCCATCTTTATTTCCGTAGGTCTTTTTTAATAGAGATTTTACCATTGTTTCTCTATGCGTGACCTTTGGTTTTATAAGCTCAACTTCTTTTTCTCTCCTACACTCCTTTTATTATGTGTTT